CGGGAGCAGAGGAAGAGCACATGCTTCCTGAGAAGTTAGAGCTGGCATACAGTCCCAGGACTCCTACACACACACACACCCTGCACAGGCAGGCAACAGGGGGAAGGAAGTCCTCAGCCGAGTGACAGACCTGGTGTTTCAGGAAGCGTGCCAGCTGTTTATGGGCGGAAAAGGGAGGAGAGGGGAGGGGAAGAGCAACCCGGGAGCAGAGGAAGAGCACATGCTTCCTGAGAAGTTAGAGCTGGCATACAGTCCCAGGACTCCTACACACACACACACCCTGCACAGGCAGGCAACAGGGGGAAGGAAGTCCTCAGCCGAGTGACAGACCTGGTGTTTCAGGAAGCGTGCCAGCTGTTTATGGGCGGAAAAGGGAGGAGAGGGGAGGGGAAGAGCAACCTGTGCGCTTCCTGAGACCCGGGATCCCCAGGTCCCTATCTCCTCCCCTGGCCAGAGCCCCCCCACCAGCACCCTGCCACCTGCCCCAGCACCCACCAGCACCTTGCCCCAGCACTCTGTCCCCTGCCCCCACCAGCACAGTTAGTGAGGCTTGTTTTTTTTTTTTAGAGGGGTTGATTTTTGCATCTCACTTGTGTGGCCCCAACTGACTTTTCTGTAGGTCAGTGACCCCTGATTCAAAACAGGTTCCCCGCCCCTCTCATAAATAAAGACAATGCTGAAACATGTTGTGTTTGACATCATATTTTATTTAAAAATGAAGCCTGGCCAACAAGCCCCCAATTGGGGCTGAGCTCCCATCTGGCTGCAGCATCATAACACTCCTGCATTCCTCCTGCCCCCCAGATGCCAAACCTGAGCCTGTCATACACTGGAACCCCCTGTCCTGAGCCTCTCATATCTCCAAACTCCTGTACCCAGACATCTCAGTCTTCTGCCACAACACTCCTGCACCATCCACCCACTGCAAATCTGTGTCCTGAGCCCATCTTACCTCCAGGGCATACCAGCACCTATTTCCCCCTGGTGCAGCTGCCCTTTTCTTCTTTTTTTTTTTTTTTACTCAACAAGTTCCCTCCGCCCCCAATATGTGGCTCTTCCCACTCTGTCCACCTCTATTTTGGCTCTTTGGCTCTAATGGGTTGGCCACCCCTGGCTTAATCCCTACTTAAAGACCAAATCTCAGGTATTCAGCTGTAATAGTGCCTCTAATGTAATTCTCATACTTACTGTTGGTTTTCTAATAGTTGATACTGGTCTCAGTGCTGGAAGAGGCTGAAATCCCTGTTATTTCAACAGAGAGAAATAAATCAGAGTTAAAATACAACAATCTCATCAAGGAAAAGACAATTTTCGTTCTCTAATTTGTTGCTGGGAATATTGTAGAATTTTGTGTGTTGCCAAATAAAAATTGAACCACATAGACGATGAAGTCATATTACAAGCAGGGCTAACAGTCTCGCTGGGCCTCTAAGGAAGGTGGGGGCGCTTGTGTGGAAGAGGTGGAGCTGGCTGCCCGGAGCATTCTACACCTCCCACTCCTGTCTTCAGTGCTGCTCTGAGTTCCGGTTGAGGACTGCTCTTACTGAAAAATGTCACAGGACTTGGGAAGTCTGCATACTGCCATTTATAATCTGAGCCCTGTGCATTTTCCCTCATATGTTGACTGGCTGCTGGCTTTGATATCCTCCTACCCCTCTTCCTCATAAACCTTCTCCCTTCTTTCCTTTCCTGGCATGTTGTCTCATTCCATGTCACCTCATAATCACACTTCCTGCTAACACAAATGATAAGATGTATATCTGTCACCAGCCTAATCACTCTTTTTGTGCATTGTATCTCATTTCCCTCTCCCCCCAACCCTTTTGTCTTAGTCTTTTTTACATTATGAATTCTTTGGGCCAAGGATCACATCTTCCTGTATGTTTGTATGATGATGATCAGCACAATATCAAGCCGTATAAATAAATAAAGCAGGTTTTAGAATAGGCGTAGGCAAACATTTTGGCTCACATTCACCAGTGACAATGTAACTGATGGTGTAAGTCATAAGTGGGTTTAAATACAATATTTCCATAACCTTACTTTCAGTAGCTAAGCCATTCCGATGGTAGGGTCTCACGCTTCTGGACTTTTATCTACTTATGCACTCTGTTTCCTTGTAAGAAACTCAGCTTCAACAGGACTTATTTCAGTATTATAAAATAGAGCACATATGTTTTGGGCACTGCTTCAGAGATGCTGATTTATCACTGCAGTGTGCAGAGCCTCGTGAAATAGAAATATGCTGGCCAATGACTAGTAAGAACAAATTAATGAGCTGAATGGAGTGAAGTGATAAATGCACGGAGCTGAGAGGTCACCCACAATAGTGAAAAATCCTGCTGAGAGGGAGCCTATCTGCAAAATACTTTCCCAATTTGTGAATATTTTGATGTAATTTTTCATAGGCCATAGATAGTTTTGCACTTACATAGCCGGAAATTGCTGGAGGTGGAGGGCTGTCAGCTGGAATGGGAATTAATTCACCGAGCTGGAAGAGCACACAATGAAGAGATGAGCAAAAACAGACATGAATTAATCACATTTCTTTCAACTGTACTGAAGATAATCTTAGCACCCACACTCTCCCCTTAAAGAATATTTGCATCAAAACCACTGAGAAGAACTGGAAAGCAGGCTCAACAATGCAATAATACCTGCAATCTTCTCCATCCTCCTCGAACACGGATAAACACCTCACTACTTTCACTCAGGTAGATTAATGTGCCTTCTGCTACTAAGTGAACCTTTTGCAACATGCTATCAATGTTTCTGAAAGTTGTAACCTGTCAAATAACAAGGAAACAGAATCATCAAAAGTAAAGGACATCTGCAAATAAAAGAGAAAAAAATTTATTTCAACTGGAAATCAGAGGAAGTCATAGAAATGAAAATCATTTTTTGAACAATAAATATTTATAAAGTCTATCCTAGCTCATTTTCCCAATTTTGTTTGTGTGTCATAAAAAGATCATGATAAATTGTACTGGCATTAATTAGCTTTTGTGTATGAAACTGGGAACTTTGATGAGTGTAGTTCAAATTAATTTTTGGTATAACAAAAATTACGACCAGAATTACACGTGATACATTTGGTCCCATTGTGCGGTTACTACACCTGGAAAACTAGGTTGAGCTGGCAGAGTTCAAAAGATGTTTGAGTTGACAACATTAGCAGTTGGAGTGGGAAAAAATGTAGTTTGTAAAGTATTTCCCAACCTGGGCTAACTCAATTCATTTTTGTTGTTATTATCTCTTTTCTTGTTGTTCTGATCCAATTAGAATCAGTGCAGTTAATAATTATATATATTTGGTTGATTTGATTTTCATGAGACATAATCTCAAAGCAAATGTCTGACTGAAGATGCAGCTTTAATCATATTCCTAAGCTATGGGCCAGAAGAAGCAACAAATAAAATTACACAAAATGAAAATGTGCAGCTGGGTTTGTCTAGCTGGTATTCCAGAAAGGAAGGAAGAAAGAAATGCCAGTTCCATAACAGAATCTTACAAGGAAAAGACCTTCTTCTCTTAACTGCAGGCAACTTAATATTCAGAAATACCAGTTGAATAAAGGCTGTGGCTTGCTGTGATCAGATCTCTGTATCTCACTTTTTTCCCTTGCAGTTTTTCTCAGTTTGTAGTATATGTTGAGCTGTCTGCTAGCAATAGCAGAAGGCCTCTTCCTTTAAGATGTTATGTGATTAGCAGGCTGAAACTCAAACCACATAATAATGATATTATGTCAGTTGGTTTGAGAAGAAACCAGAAGAGTCTTTTCCAAATGAAAGGCTAATGCTCTCCTGACATCTAGGGTGTGAAGAGCATCTTCTTCTTTAGTTTTGTGAGGTTTGGGTAGAAAACCAGACGTTAAATGAACCAGTTAACATGGAAGTCTGAGGTGACCCTCGGTAAAAAGTGGTATGGACAGAGAGAGACCTTTTCTTTATAAAATGTGGTGTAGGAAAGGTCCACTAGCTAAGTTCCTCATCATTCAGTCCTACTGGAGGCAACAGCCACTAAAAAAGCCATTTTCACCAAAGGGAACACATGGCCAATAGTTTGAAGTGTTGCCTCCTCAGGAAATTTAGGACCAAGTTGAAATGACACATTGGAGCAAGTTGCAGCACATGCAAACAAGTTTTGATAATCTTTTAATAAATTGAGAGGCAGATAATGTCTTTCTAGTTGGTTCCTTTCTACTACTAACCCAACCTTTACATTTCTTGAACAGGAAAGCTCTACCCTTGAGAGCCATCCAGGTGCCAAGACATGATATGCAAAGTTGTCATGTTAGGATGAAGAACTTGTCCTGAGACCTGGATTAGCAGGTTGGAAGTTGTTGATAATCAAAGGGAAGGGAGAGATGAGAGGCAAATCAGGCATGGTAATTATATTTGTCTGGGCCATGCTGGTGCAATTAGGAAGACCTTGGCTCTGACCAGCTTGATATTGTTCAAAACCCTGAGAAGCATCAGAACATAGATATATAGGAGATTCCTCACCCAAGAAACAAAGAAGGCATCTCTCAGAAAATGATGATTCAAGCCTGATCTCAAACAGAATTTCCAAGACTTACTAATGGAGGCAAAGATGCATACTTCCAAAAGACTTCAGATAAGAAATATTTCCTTGAGTATCAAATGGTAAATTATTCCCTACAGACAGCGCATACAACCCAGAATGACCAGTGGGAAGGTCCATATGGGAAGGGAAGGGGAACCAATGAATACTCATACCAGGGAGAGTCTGGGACATCCCATGCACATCTGTGCCTCAAGGACTCCCTTATAGAGAGAATGTTGGGAGGGTAAACTTTGGGTTGGTAATTGAGCAAACTTTGAACAGAAATCTGGGAATCAGAGAGCTGCCCTCATAGTCCAGAGTGGGGCAAATGGTTGAATTAAGACAAGGAGCCTATCCATTCAAGGGGATATCGAAGAGCATGTCTGTGTGAGGATATGGTATGCTACAGGTAAGGAAGGAAGCTTTCAGCACCCATCAGTAGAGACAATTCCAGTTTGTGTGAAATGACCAAATCCTTAAAGAATCTGAACTTCTGCAGTACCAGAGCTGAAAGCACGTGGCACTAAGAGTGACCTGAATTTTAATGGTACTGCTTGATGCTGTGCAGTTTGGGGAACTACTGGCATCACAGGAGTTATCACCAATGAAGTTGGCACTGCTCTAGTTGATCAGAACGCTTAGTCTCTAGAGGTGCAATCCTCCCTGGATGGTATGAGTTGGGCTTAGATAATGAACACTGATGGATATTGTGGGTTTTAGAGATGCCTGCTACTTTCATAGAACTTATGGGTACTGGGAATTCAAGGTGTCTCTCAACATTATTCTTCCTAGGATGTGAGGTTTCCAAAGTGGCAGAGCCCTGGGCCCTTTAAATCATGGTGTGTGCCCAGCAGCCCTGGCAGCCCTGCAGGGGCTACTAGCCCTGCCCCTTTCAGCTGACACCTCACCCTTTCCAGGGGGCCTGGAGCTGGCTCCCCCTTAGGAGCCAGAGAAGTCTCTCATCAGCCCAGACCCTTAGTACAGGACATGACAAGGCAGGCATTGCTCTCAAAGGTCTCTGTTCAAAAGTGCTGGGGACAGTGGCACACCTGAAGTGGAGTGGTTGTAGGGACTTGAAGCTTTCCTTTTAAGAGCAACATCTGCTGAAATAGAGACCTGAATTACTGGGTTTTATTCTGCTTAGGTCTCTAGTTTCCTTGGAAGAAAGACTGGCTGAGTACAGGCAGTCCTGGGTTACATACAAGATAGGGACTGTAGGTTTGTTCTTAAGTTGAATCTGTATGTAAGTCGGAACTGGCGTCAGCCGCTGCTGAAACTGATCAGTTTCAACCGCGGCTGAATCTGGACGCCAGTTCTGACTTACATACAGATTCAACTTAAGAAACCCAGGTGTCCCCAAGTCAGCTGCTGCTGAAACTGATCAGCGGCTGATTCCAGGAAGCCTGGGGCAGAGCAACTCTGCCTCGGGCTTCT